GGTCTGCACCCATCCCTTGGTGTGTGCGCGGGGGTGCGGTCAATTCCGGTGGCCCTGCTGGCCCTCCAGTGGTGATTTCCGGTGACCCAAAGCCCAGGGAGAGCCCAGAGGGTGTCCCCTGACAGACAAGCCCAGCTCCCCTTCCACAGCAGGGCCCCTTATGTGAAAAAGACCACCCTGTGCCATCCCAGCCTCCTTCCAGCTGCCGCGGTAGCCTGGGCGACTTTGGAAGTGATATTTGACCCCAAGGGCGCGCCGTATCGATCCGCGCGGCCGCAGACAATGGCCCCTGGACGCTGCGAGCTCCACGGTCCAAGTTCCACGTTCGATTCCCGCGGGCTCTGCCGCGCGCCGAATCCCCAAGAGAAGGGGTGCCCTGGGGTTAGGGTCCCACTCCTGACAGCACCCCCAGCCCGTCCCCGCGCGGCCACGACCCCCCCCCTCGGAGAAAAAGAACAGACGAGCAAGAAGCGGAGGCAGAAGCCGCGAGGGACCACCTGATTGGGGGGGATCTGCATCGATGCAGCGCCAACTGTATACACAACCCCAGGAAAGGAATGGCGGGAGGGGGGCTATGTCCCTAGCTCAAAGGGGGAGTGGAGGCGCAGGGAAGGTCAGCACCAGGCCCAAGGTGACCGAGCAGGTCAGAGGCCCGCCCCAGGCCGGGGCTGGTGCCCGGCGGCGGTGCGCGCGCGGAGGGGGGGGCTCACCGGCAGGTGTAGCTGAGGTTGCGGCGGATGCTCCGCTTGAAAAAGCTCTTGCAGCCCTCGCAGGTGAAGACGCCGTAATGCTTGCCGCTCGACTTGTCCCCGCACACCACACAGTCCACCTGCAGCCCCGGCCGCTCCTCGTCGCCAGGCTCCGCGTCGCTGGCGGCGCCGGGGGGCGAGGCCGAGTCTTCTTCGGCTGCGCGCGGGTAGCCGCCCGCCTTGTCCACGCCGTTCGTGTCGCCGCCGGGGCCGCCCCAGCCGCCGGTCACCATGGCCATAGCCCCAGGGCAGCGGGGCCGGGGCGCCCCCTCCTCGTTCTTCCTTTCGGGCACCCCTCTCGGCCCGGGGAAGCCTACCCGGCGCGCATCCGGCCCCGGCGCGCGGGGGGCACCGGCTGCACCCCCCAAAAAAGTTTTGCAGCAACTTCCTGCGGCCGGTCCGCGCGCCCGGGCGGAACTGGTCGGGCCGGTTCCAGGCCAACTTTCCCACGCGTGCGCGGGGCCGGCGGGGGCGCGCTAGAGGCGTGGGCCGGGGGCCCCGAGGTCTCGCGCCCCGCCGCCCTGGGGCCCCGGCAGGGGCGCGCGGGCCATGACCCGGCCCGGGCTGCGCAGGGGCCGCCCTCTGGCCTGGCCGCCGCTCGGCCTGGGTCTGCGGCCAACTTAGCGGGTCGCCATCGGAGCGCGGGAGGCCGGGGGGAAAGTTTGGCCGCAAGTTGCGCGGCCGCCCGTGGCGAGGGGGAGGGGCGGCGGGCGCGCGCCGGGGCCAGTCGCCGCGCCCCCTGGGTCCCCAGGGCCCCCAGGTGCCCGCGGCGGCCGCTCGGGGCCTGCAGGGCCGCGGGCCGGCGCCTCCCGAGCTGCCGCCCCCGCCGCGGCCGCGCCCGCCCGGCCTGGGCCTGCGCCTGGGCCCAAGCCTCGCTCTCGCCGCCGCCGCCGCTGCCGCCGACCCCGCGCGCCGGCCTCGCGCTGCGGCCGGTTTGACACACAACGTTCCATCCGCGGGGCGGGCGGGGGGCGGGGGCGGGGGCAGGGGCGCGCGCCGCGGGCTGGGGGCGGGCGCTCGTTGCCCGGGCGACGGCCGCCCTTATAAGGGCATGGGTGGCCGCGCGCGGCGCCCGGCGCCCGGGCCGGCGGGAGGGACGGGGGCGGAGCGCGGGGCCGCTGGCCTGACCCTCCCCCACCCCCTCCCCGGCCCCCGCCCTCCACCCGCTCCAGCCTTAACCCCTGCAGGGCCGCCTCGGGGGCCTGAGCGGCGACTGCCCTCTGCCCTTCCTCTAATGTCGCCAGAATGTCTCTCCGTGGCCCTTCCCTCCACCTCCGGCCTTGGACGTTACGTCTTTCAAACACCCTCAGGGCGCCCCTCGGAAGCCCCCAGCCCCACGCATTCCCAGCAGAAGCAATAATCAGGGGACTTTTGCACCCGGGGGCACGCCCCTGCCAACACACACACACACACACACACACACACACACACACCCTGGGGCATTTCTTCTTCGCACAGTTGCAGGATGGATTGTGTTTGCTTCCTCTTCCAGAAAGTCGCCGCGTCCGTCCGACCCCCACTCCACCCTTTCTCTGCTTGGGCGAACACCTGGTGCCCAGAGCCTCCAGGGAGAAGGGGTGGTGTGGTCTGAGTCTGGCTGGACGGGTAAGGAGTAGCGAAGTCAGGGGGTCCCTTCTACAGAATTTCAGGCCTCTGGGGGCAGGGCACTCTGCGGCCATCCACCGGCCCTCCACCAGCCCTCCACCGGGCTGGAGACCACAGGAATACCAATCAACCCTGCCAGGGCCTGTCCCTGTCCCCTTCATTTCTTTCCCTCTGTGCTTTGCAGAAAGGGCTTGGCCTGGAGACGGGCTGGAGACTACAAGATCTCCTCCAGGAACCCTGGAGCCGCCCACCCGCCACCGTGTCCAAAGCCCCTCACTGCCTCTGCCGGACCCTCTACCCTCGCCAGCATTTAGTAAGCACACTTTGCATGCAAGACTGGACTTGGGAGCAGGGGAAGCCTGAGTCGCCGGCTCTAGACCTGTTAATGTTTAACCAACTAGAAAAGTTCTTCCTCAGGTGACCTTTTACCTATGAGTCCTGAAGGTGCAGCCACCCAGCCTGTTCTCCCACCTAGCCCTGGACCTAGAACTGGACACCAGGGCACATATCTGAGCCTCTGAGAGCCACAGACAGGACAGCAGTGCCCTCTGCCCCTGTCTGATCTTATACCAGCCCTTCCAGTAAGAGACTTGGGGCTGGGAGAGATGCTTAGAGACTGTATGATACTTAAAGGGAAATTAAGATTCAGTTTAGCCAGCCAGTCACACCCATCCCTGGGCCTCTGGATCATCCAGAAAGGGTCTGGTTAGTGTGAAATGGAAAAAGACTTAATAGAGAAAGCAGGAAAGACTAGGGTTAGACATGAGCAAGGACTTCTCATGGATCTGACTAGAGTGGGGTTTTGCTCATAGTCCTGCTGGGGGAGGGAGCCTGGGCAGGCAAATGACACTTTGGTTCTGGAGCTTCATGGGAACCTGGGGGCACTGGCTTGTTATTTGGGGTAAGGATCGGGTTCCCCTGGCCTAAACCTGCCAGCATTCTTGGGTGGAGGACATGGGGTGTGGGAGGTCTCATAGGAGATATCAAAAAGGTGGACTTAAAAGTGAGAGAAAGCTTGAGAGGGGGGACTCACAAGGGAAGTGGACAGGAATCTGGCAGAGGGAGTTGACTTGGTGGGGGAGGAGGAACTGAATCTGGGGGACTGGGTGGGAGACACTGGAGGCAGGGCTGCCCCTTCCCACCTGCCCCTTCTCAGGACCTTCCAGCTCCAGGGCTGCCCACCCGCCCTCTACCAGCAGCCCTTCCACCCCCGCGCCCCTGGGGCCCGACTGGTGATGGGCTGAGCCTCGGCACCGCCCCCAGCTGACCCCTGCCCGCGGCCCCGCGGTGACATTTGACCTTGCGGCGGCCGCGGACCCGGGACAAAAGGGCCTGGGCCCATCTGCCGCGAGGGCGCCCGTGGGAACGGCTAGACGCTGCCCCGGCTGCCTGGGAAGCAGCCCCCTCCCCCTCCTACAGGTGACCTTGGCTTCCCTGTTCGCCCCTCCCCTCATCAACCTGGTGGGACTAGGGACTAAGAACACTCTTAGAAAGGACAGGACGGAGGGAAGTTAGTTCCTGGGCTTCTCCCAAGAGCAAGGTGACCCGCCTCAGTTTCCCTGCCTTCCCCGGAAACTGTCTGGCCTGGGTCCAGAGGCAGCGCAGGGACCGAAGGTCACCAGCCCCATCGCTCATGGGAAGAGACTCTGTTGTCATTCTCTTCCTGTTCTGCCTCTCAGGTCGACAAGACCATCCACTGACGCGCTGACCCGTGGCCTTCCCTTGGGAAAGGCACCCGCCTGTCACACACCTGCACAGGTGCGGCCAGGTGCTGCCGCCGAGCCCCGCCCTCCCGCCAAGGCTGTGGAGGAAACCTTCCTAATCCTCATCTTGGGTTTCAGCTACTGCCCAGGAGGGACAGCTGGCCGCTAATCCTAGCGTGATTGGGTCGTTTTCAGCCCCTTCCCCAACCCAGCCCCTCAGTTGCGGAGGGACAGAGGGGTGTGGTCTATGCAAATGACACGCTAATCAGCTGCCTGCTATTAACCTGGCAAAACCACTCCTCCCAGCTCCCAACCCCCACAGGACAAGGCCCCAGCTGCTCGGACACTTGCTCTGAGTTCCTCCTACCCCCAAAGCACCAGGCAGCCCAAGTCCCAGGCTTTTGCCTTTGGGGTGACTGCCCCCACCCCAAACTCCATGATCTTGCAATGCAATTTCCAAAGCCATCTCTGGCTCCTGTGCCCCTCACCACCCTGGGAGCAGGCACTCATCTTGCACAACCCGAACCTGACCCGTTCTGGCCCCAGTCTCCCTGCTGGGGCCCCAGCATTCTCTTGGAGAGCGCCTGCCAACCCAGACCCCACCTCCCTGGGCAGGGATGGGCAGGGAAGGTGTCCTGCTCCCCTGGACCCACCCTGGGCTTCTGGACAAAGAGAACTGGTAGAACCTCGGCTTCGCCGGAGACCTCACTGAGCCCAAACTGCCCCAGTCGGGGGTCTCTGTCCCTACAACCTAGGTGACTTCTGGCTGGACCTCAGTCTCAAACTTTTCCCCCACATGGTGCCAGGGCAAAGACACTGGGTTTTCTTCAAATGCCCAGTCACCTCCCATCAGTCCCCGTCGTGCTAAATGAGCCCCAAACACAAAGTCACCGCACAGGACAATGTCACTCCAGAATGCTTTATGACAGGCCTGGTTGAGGGCCTACAGCAAGGTCTCCCCCAGCTGAGGGGGTGGGCAGGGAGGCCTGCGTCCTCCCAGGGCTCTGGCGGTGGCTTCTAGCACGGCGAGCTCCTCGGCCTGCCGGGCTTCCATTCGCTCCATCTGCTGCTCCAGCTTCCGGCATTGCTCTTCCTGCTTCCGGTGGGCTCCTCGGAAGGCCAGGACCAGGGCACTGGAGGGAGTGGGTGGCTGAGCCAGGAACTGCCCCGCGCTGCGCCAAAGCAGGGGCTGCACTCGCCCATCCAGAGCGTGCGCTCTTGAGCCGGGTCTTGCTGGGGCCCTGGTACGGCTCAGAGGCCGCAGGGAGGCGTGGGGTGAACTGGATTTGCTGCCCTTCTTACAGGGGGCAGCTGAGGCCCAGGGAGAGCTGGGGAGGCTTGTGAGGTCACCAAGTAGATGATGACCAGGCCGGGGCCCACCTGTGAGCTTTGCAGAGATCAGTGTTCAGCTCAGCGCTCTGGGTCCGCCTAGCTCGTCCCTTCTGAGCTACCTGTTCCAGCTGCTCTCTAAGAGACTGCATCTGCTCCCGCAGGTCCAGGGTCCTAGCACAGCGGTGGAGAGAGGGGCAGCTCATGGCCATCGCCAATCCTGCCTCCCTGTCCCCCTCTCAACCACGTGGACTTTCACGTGGACTTTCACATAAACACGCCTGCACACAATGCTGCTGCCCTGCCATGCCCTGCCCACCCATCCACCCCCATCCAGGCCTACCTACCTGGTGACTGATGCCTCTATTTCTTTGGCTAACTTCTCTGGGTCCCACATTCTGCCTAACTGGCCTCCATCAAGGCCACTAGAGCCACCAGGAACAGCAGGAAGGCCCTAAGAGGAAGAAAAGGGAGGGAAAAGTAACATTAGCCCAGGCCCCTGGGGTGTGCTCAGCCCAGGCTGGACATCAAAGCCACCCAGATTGCTGTCAGCCACAGCCCTTGCCCTCAGTCTGATGAGATACCCCAATATGGGGAAAGCTTCTCTCTGAAAAGGGAAATAAATAACAGGGGACCTCATCTGACGACAGTCCAGGAGGACTGCCAGGAGGAGGTGACCTCTGAGCTCAGGGCTACAGAAGGCCAAGGATTTCTTTTACACAAAGAGGGGAGAGGTGTTCCTGGCAGAAGCACAGTCGGTATGAAGTCTTGGAGACAAGAGAGATGATTCAAGGGCTGCGTTAGGAAACCTGCACTGAGCTGGACGTGGTGGCACATGCCTGGAGTCCCAGCTGCTTGGGAGGCTGAGGCAGGAAGATAGATCTCTTGTGCCCAAGAATTTGGGGCCAGCCTGGGCAACAGGGCAAGAACCTTCTGACTAAAAAACACTAACAAAAGTTTTTTTTTTTTTTTTTAAAGGCCTGTGAGCCAGGCACAGTGGAGCATATGTATAATCCCAGCAGCTCTGGAGGCTGAGACAGGAGGATCGTGGGTTCAAAGCCAGCCTCAGCAACTTAGTGAGGCCCTAAGCAAATTAATGAGACCCTGTCTCTAAATAAACTACAAAAAGGGCATGGGGTGTGGCTCAGTGGTTAAGCACCCCTGGGTTCAATTCCCAGTACCAAAAAGAAAAAAAAAAGGCTTGTAAGCCGCTGAAGATTTTAGGAAAGGACAGACACAACCAGGCAGGAAGGAGAAGGTATCAAAATCTGGGAGGAGATGAGGCAGAGACTGGGGTGTGGGATGGGACAGGAGGAATACAGGGCTTGGGGATGGTATAGGTTTGAGTGGAAAACCCTAAACCCCATGGGAAAGAGGGGAGAGACCAGCTCACAGCTGCAGCTGGTCCTGGTTAGAGACACCCAAGGAAAGAAACTGCAAAGTACAGGCAGCCAGTGTGGCAGGAACTTAACCATTCAACTTGCTTCTCTGGGCAGAAGCGGAGGGTGAGCTCAAGGGGGGATCAATTGGCCAGGACCACGCGGCCAGTAGCATGCTGCCACCCTACCAGGTCCATGCAGGGCCACTCACCTGCGCCCACTCCTCCTCGTCCCCACTGCTCCCGCCTGCACTGCTGCCTCCACCACTGCTGTCCACCCCTCCAGCCCCCAACTGCGCCTGCTCCCACTGCAGCTGCTCCAGCAGCAGCATGTGGGCAGGGCCCTGGGCTCGGAGGGCAGCGTCCCGCAGCTCCAGGCCGCGCTTCTCGCGCCGGACCAGCTGCAACTGCAGCATCAGTTCAGCAAGGGTCTCCTGAAGGACCGTAGAAAGGACGGAGAATGAGTGCCTCTGGGATCAACCGCTGGGGAAACTGAGGCTCCAGAGACAGGAAATACCTCCCTCCCCTAAAAGCAATAGCGATGGCTGGGCACAGTGGCCATGCCTGAATTCCCAGCAACTTGGGAGGCTGAGGCAGGAGGAACTCTAGTTCAAGGCCAGCCTGGGCGATGCAGCAAGACCCTGTCTCAAAATCTATAAAGGCTCAGTGGTAGAGTGCTCCTGGGTGCAATTAAAAAAAAAAAAATAAGCTACAGTTGTGGAAATGGCATCTCTTAGTCAAGCACTAGATCAGTGGAAGTTTCTGGAATTTCTCTGATTCCAGAACCTTTTTCTTCTTTCTGTGCTGGGAATGGAACCCAGGACCTCATGCATGATAGGCAAATACCCGGCCTCCCTGAACCAGAACCTCAGGTCTTTCATGCCAGGCTACAAACCCAGATCCTTCCCTGTCCCCAAATTCTCTTCCCAAGAACAGAATTTGGAAACTCAGATTCAGAGTCTCATAAAAATCTGAATCCCAAAGGACAAACTCCTCTTCATCCCTCAAAACCTCAACTCCAATTGCCCTTCCTCCAGGAAACCTGCCCCGAGTCCAGTAGAACTCTCCTGGTCCCCCAACCACATCCCTCTCAGCCTCAGAAATGCTTTTGTCTGTCCAGGAAAGAATGACATGGTGACCTCAGTCCATTTGTACCCGTGTGGCCAACAGGTCCTGTTGGATCTGCATCTTCTCCAGCCGGGGCAGGGCAGGGCCAGGCTGGGTCTCCAGAATGGCTTGCACCATGGCTTCTGCATGGGGCACGGTGGGCAAAGGTGCCGAGGTGGGGCCAGGCCCCGGGGGGATCTTCACCAGAGCACGGCGTTCCTGGAGACGCTGGACATATCCTTGGAGCCGGGATGCCACTTCCTGTGGCGTGGGTTTATCTACGCTGCTGCCCTCGGGGCTACAGGAAACAGGTGAGAGTCCTGTTTTAACACCGATGAGCACAGCCCTGCTAACTTCAGGACAAACTTGTCAGTTCCATCACCTTCCATCTCACTGGACCATGATGCACCTGGGTCATCTGTGCTGGGCCCTGCATCATACCAACGTGGTAGGCACCATGAGGTGGACTCTAGTGGGAACCACCTTCTATCAAGACAACATGGTGGACAGTGGACACTACCATGCCAACCTAACGGGCACCATTTGCTCATACCAATATGGCAGGTTCCATCTCACCAACCCAATGGCACCATCTCATATCAACATGATAGACACCATCGTGGCCAACCCAATGGGCACCATCACCCAGCTTGCCAACCCCGGTGGGTACCACGGAACCTCAGGCCAACGTCATTAAGCACCATCATGCCAGTTCTAATCAGTTCTCCATCATCCACTTTCCTACCCTCCCTGGTGGGTCCCTTGCCAACCCTAATGGCTGTCAACCATCATGCCACCCTTGATACGTAACCATAGGAAATCCCAGTTAGACCTCATGCCAGCCAACCAAAGTGAGTTCAATGCCAGCCTTGCTGGGCACAGCAACATCAAACCCAAACCCGTGGCCAGCTCTGGGAGTCCCATTCCCCAGTCAGGACCTCAGTCACCCACCAGCACAGTTCCCAGAGCTCGCAGGGTACCTGGGCCGTGGTGTCCCTCCATCCATGGCAGCCTCCTTTTGTGCCAGCAGTCTCCATGCTTCCTTCTCAGCCACCTGCAGGTCACCCTGGGCGACTTCATCCCCTGATCCTGAGTCAGCCTCCCGCAGAGCAAGCAGGGCCCCATAGGCTTCCTCGCAGTCCTCACTGTGGGACACTGGCTCTGAGTACTGCAGGACACCAAGCTCCATCTGGCTCCTAAACTCCTCACTTCTCACCCCTGCCCTCTCTTCTCAGTCTGAAGTCGCCTTAATTGTCACAGTTGGAAAACATGCTCTCCCACAAGGGTCCTGGCTCCTGGGCAGGTGGAGCCATTCCCTCCACAGCTGCCGAGGTCACTGTGGGGGGTGCACCAACCTGTACTGCAGGGCCAGACGCAGTGCTGTGGCCTCGGCCTCCCGCTGGCCCAGCTGCATGCTGAGACTCTCACAGCGGCCCTTGTGCCCTTGAAGCACAGCCAACAGCAGACGGTTGAAGCATTTCAGCTTCTCGATACTCCTGCCTCCGAAGGTGGGAAAGAGGGGAAATGAGAGGCCACTGGTGATAGCCAGGGTCTGATTTCCACCCTCCTTCCCCTGCTGTAGCTCCAGGCTCCCAGAATTGTAACCCAGCCGTGGGGGGTGCCAGTGCCCTTAAGAGCTCAGCATTTGTGGCTCTCACCCCCGGAGCTGCTCCAACCGGGACTCCATGATGTGCGTCTCAGGGGAAAGGGGCTGCTGCATGGAGAGAGACCCCAGAATGTGGGTGCTGGAATCACTCCGGAGGCGCCGGAGCAGGGGGTGAACCAGGGAGGAGTCCTGCCAAGAAGAAGTCCCTTGATGGACCTGGTGAGCTTCAAGAGCCCAGGATCAAGATTTTTCCAACCCCAGAAGCAACTGGATTCCATGACCAGGAATTAAGATCATCCTCCTAAATGCTAAGTCTATCAGGACCAGGGGTTTGTACTTCTCATACTCACTTGAGTTCCCCAGAGTTCCCCATCTGCCCCAGAGCTGCTCGAATCACTGCCCGGACCACCTGCTTGGTGGCGAGAGGGAGGCGGGGAGGACTCCAGCCTCATTATGGAATCCTGCAGCTCCTGGACCTGGGGGATGATGGGGAATATCAGGCTGGGGGCTCCAATCACCTGCCAGCCATCCCCAAGGCCTGTTCCTAGGTCAGGGGCAAGTCCAGCTGGAAGGCAGAAGCCCCTATAGTCACCTCGCTGAAGCCCTCACTACATGATCTTGTGCATGTCCTTCATCATGCATGACTTATCTTTCCCAGCAGGGAAATGGGCCCCCCTCTGGAGGAAAAATGATCCCACTTTTTTATTTATTGAAAGGTTGTCCAGAGTGGTCTCAAACTCTTAGGCTCAAGAGGTCCTCCTGCCTCATCCTCCCTAATGTCTGGGACTACAGGCATGTACCACTGTACCCCATGAAGAGAATTTCATTTCTTTCTTTTTTTTCTTTTTTTTTTTGCAGGAGATAGTGTGTGTGGTTCTGGGGACAGAGCCCAGGGCCTCCCACATGCCAACCCGCACCCTACCACTGAGCCACACCTCCAGGCCCATGGAGCCCATTTCCCAAGCTGAGCTCCCTGGCCCTGTCTTCCTACCACTTGGAGAGGGAGAGGAGGGCTTTTCTCCACCATCTTGCTCAGCCACAAGGCTTTAAATGTCACCTACATGCTAAAGATGCCCAAATATCCCAGTGAGCTCTGAAACAGGACATACAGTCACCCCTCACATTCAACCAACCAAGGACTAAAAATATTTGAACAAAATGGCACCTGAACCGAACACAAGCAGCTTCTTCTTTGTTATTATTCCCTAAATAAAACCTTGTAACAACTCTGTGCACAGCGTTGGGTGTCGTGAGACACCTAGAGATGATTTCCAGTCTAGGAGGATGTGCAGGCAAATGCCACACAATTTTATCTAAAGACTTGAGCCTTGGGCTGGGGTCGTAGCTCAGTGGTGGAGCACTTGCCTAGCACGTGCGAGGCCCCGGGTTGGATCCTCAGCACCACATAAAATAAATGAATGAAAGACTTGAGCCTCTGCAGATTTTGGTATCTGAAGTGGGTCCTGGAAGCAGTCTCCCAAGGATACTGAAGGACAACCGTATAGCTGTCCCCTTGATATCTCCTAGTGGCTCTCCCCAAGTGGTCATCTTGAGTTGATCAGTACCCAGAGAGCTCCGGGTCTCCCCCCAGCCAAACCTGTCCCTCCATCTGCTTCCCCAGTCCCCTCTGTCAGTCCCTCAGCAGCCAACGCCAGAGTGGTCCTTGGTCTCTCTCTAGGTCACACACCCAATCCCCGAGTCCACTAGCTCTGTTTTCTGTCTCCTCCTCCTCCTCCTCCTCCTCCTCCTCTTTTTTTTTTTTTTTTTTTGGAACTGGGGATTGAACCCAGGAGTACTAAACCACTGAGCCACATCCCCAGCCCTTTTTATTTTTTATTGGAATTTGCGATTCTCCTGCCTCAGCCTCCCAACTTGCTGAGATTACCGGTGTGTGTCACCGCACACAGCCTCAGGTCCTCGCACCCAGCCTCAGCTCCGTTTTCAACCTCACCCAGAATCCTCCCACTTCTTGCCACCCCCATAATTTTCAGCACAGAGGACCAGGAGGGTTGAAGCCACCTCCTGAACATCAGGATTCTGCCCTCACCTCCATAGACTGTTCCTCCCACAGCCGCCAGAGGGCGCCGGTGAGCACTGCCTCAGGGCACACCCACTCTGCTCAGGACTGTGAGCAAAAGCCTGAGTCCTCCCCACAGCCCTGCACAGTCTGCCTGTCACCTCCCTGCCCTCATCTCCCTCTCGTGCCCTCTTGTTTGCTCCAGTCACACTGGCGTCTTTGCTGTTCCTTGAACACATCAGTCATGCTCCCACCTCAGGACCTTTGCACGGCTGTTCCCTCTGCCTGGGACGAATGCTCTTCCCCCAAATTCTTAAGTCACTCCTCCAAGCCCTCCTTCTGTTTTTTTTTTTTTAATCAAGTGGGCCTCCCGGACCCTCTTACTAAGATTGCAAGGGACCTTCTGTCGCTGGTCTCAGCAGTCAATGTTCCATGCAGATGCGTTGTTTCACTGAATGAAGGAACTTGGCCCTGCCTCCTCCCTCAGAGACAGGGAGCCCTGGGAGGTGGGACTCAGCCACCCACTCACCTCTCTTTGCAGCGCCTCCTTCTCAGCCCGGATGGCCTGCAGGGAGGCCTGTGTGCGGACCAGCTCGTCCTCACGGCTGCCCAGGGCCAGCCTCAACCAGGCGTTCTTCTCGGCCAGGCGGGCTGCCTCCTGCTGGCAACCCCGGGCCCCTTCCTGCTCTGCGCAGGGCCCCCGGGCCCCCTCTGTTTCGTCCTCTGCCTCCACTGGCCCAGGACAGCTTGGGGGTCGGTGGCGCCAGGCAGCAGCGACTGCCTCCAGGGAACTCAGAACGTGCTGGAGGGTCTGAAACACATCGGGGGCCCCGGTCCCAGTGGGGACAGTCTTCCTGTCCAGCAGGGTTGTCTCTGGGGCCTGGTGGCTTTCCACTGCAGGCTCCTGGGGTCCCTCCGGGGCTGAGGCCAGCCTCCCCCCTGAGTCCTCAGCATCCTTGCTAGTCCTGTGAAAACCAACCCAGAGACCTGAGCCACCCCACGTTCAGCAGGGGACTTCGCTGCAGTGTCCCTTGGAAGTGTGAACGGGGCCCTGAGCTTCAAGAGCTGTGTGTTCTGGGGCTGGTGTCCCAGCGGGACCCTGAGAGGCTGGACAGTGGTCCAGGAGGGGGCCCGGGGCGGGGGCCGCAGAAAAGAATGAGTTCCAGAATTTGCAAGGTAAAGAAGGGTGTCTGGGCAGAGAGTCTTTGCCTGGGTGTGAGAGACAGAAGCTTCTGGAAATGGGGTCATCTGGGGTGCTTGGTATACAGGGGCTATGTGTGAGGGCCAGGGTTACATTATTTCGGTCCTTGAAAATCAGGCTGAGGAGGGCAATGGGGAGCCATAACAGGTGCTGGAGCAGGGGAGGGACACAGGTTTGTGGGTGGCAAAGACGCACCCAGACTGGAGTCCAGGACACAGACCAAGAGGATCTTACCTGCTCCCTGGGCCCTGGCCACTGACCTCCACCATGCGGCTTGGCGGCTCTGGCCTGAAACTCTCCTGAGGTGGTTCAGGGTTGGGCTCGGAGTTCACGCTGGCTGCTTCAGCCTCCTCTGAACTCTCAGCTACGGGGTCCAGTTCACCCTGCAAAGGACCCCGGGGTCCAGCTCTGAGCCAAGAGAGACTGGGTCTTAGAGTCCCATGGAGCAGGGTCTGGTGGGGAGGGGGAACACTTACCGGCGGCAGGTGCCTCCCTCGCCGGCTTCGGGGCCGTGTGGCCCGGGCACTCATTGCTGCACAGAAGCTGGTGCCTTCTGAATCTTCCTGCTTTCTTTGTCACCTAGAAACACAGCCTGCTCTCAGCTCTTGCCTTTGTTATCTTGAGCAAAGGTCAGCAATGAGTCTCCCTCTGGAAGGGGTCCCCAGACAACCATGTTGGGCTGGCATATTTGAATGCCTCCCTGGATGGGCAGCTCACTACCTTCACATTTGCCAAGACTTTTCCTTCTCCTCTGACGCCTTTATCTGTCACTACTTCTATACTCCCCTTTCCCCCTATCCAGACATCGAATGGGAACCCCAAGAGTCCTCTTTCTGTCCCAGGGCCCTCCTAAGCTAAAAGGTCCTGATGCTGCGGTTCAGTCCCCTCAGCCGTATGTCTCTGTTCTTCAGAGAGCAGTCTGGTCAGAGGCCTGGGTTCCTGAGCACTCCTGGGGTCACTCTGGCCACTGTCGGCTCAGGCCAAGGCTGGCCTGGGAGGGGCCAGGAAACAGGAAACCCCCTTCCCTGGTCACGTGACTTGTTATTGTACTGTTTCCTCTGGGAGAACAGTGGGTTCCTCCAGCCCTGGGGGTGGGGGTGGGGATGCATGTGTCTAGCTCCCAAGATGCGAGACCCTCCCCATCTCATCCTCTGAGCCCAGGGTCCCCCCATCTCCAAGGCTTGGATTTTATTTCCCAAGTCCCAAAGTGTCCCTCCTGTCCCCAGAGTGGATGCTTTTCATATGACTCCCCTGCGAACTTGCCTAGCTGTCCCTTCAGTGTCTGGGACAGCTGTTCTCACTCACTCAGGCACACATGGATCTTGGTTGGGTAACCTTGAGCAAGTGACGACCCCCCGCCTTGAGCCTCAGTTTCCTTATCTTTAAGATGGGGAATTGCAATATTTTTCTTACAACATCACGATGGGCTTTTTGTTTGTTGTTGCTGGGGATGGAACCCAGATCCACCACATGACAGGCAAGTACTCTACTATTGAGCCCCTGAGCTGCCCGAGCCTGTCCTGTTTTGTTTTTTGTTTTTTTTTTTCCAGCAGTGGAGATTGAACTCAGAGGCACTCTACCACTGAGCTACATCCCAGTCTTTTTTTAATATTTTTTTTAGTTGTGGATGGACCTTTATTCTATTTATTTGTATGTGGTACTGAGAATCGAACCCAGTGCGTCATGCATGCTTGGCGAGCACACTACCAATGAGCCACAACCCCAGCCCCAGACATACCAGTCTTTTTGATTTTGAGACAGGCTCTTACTAAGTTGCTGAGACTGGCCTCCAACTTGTGATCCTCCTACCTCAGCCTCCAAGACGCTGGGATTACAGGTGTGTGCCACTGCACCAGGTTGTCTTGAGGTTTTAAAAACAAATTTGCATGTGGCCATCCAACATTTTCGGAAAACTGAACTGTAACACACACTCTTTTACCCTGTGACTTCTCTGGTCCTCCAACTCCACTTCCTCTGCCATCTCCGGTTTTTCCTCTGCTAATGCTGCATTTCCCAGAGCCTAAACGGTCTCCATATCCTGCCCATTTTCCTGCACCCTCCTCTAAAGGACTGCCTTCTGATTGAGTCCTAGAGGCACAGACCTGGCCTCTCTCCTCCTGCAGGGATGCCAGCTCTGCTCCCTCTTAGGCTCTTTGGCTCCATGCTCTTCCCCACCCAGACTTCAGAGACAAAGATATAACTTTTTTCCTGCCAGCTCACACACCCTCCATGGCTCCCCGTTGCTCTTGGGAGACATTTCAAGCTTCTCAGCCTCGCATGTAAGTTTCTTGCTGCCTACTCCCTTGCATTCCCCATGATCTAGCCACAATGCCTCCTCTACCGACAGTAGAAGGTTCTTGGGTTCTCCTTCTCAACTTTCCTGCACTCTGAGGTCTTTTGCCTGTGGTCTGAAATATCCTTTCCTTCCACCTGTGTTTGGTTTAAATTGTGCAAAGCCCAGCATCTGATTCTTGCCTCCGTGTCCCTGGGGAAGAAGACAAAGGTGGTGGGGAGAGAAATTACAATTCTCTGACTTGGGAGTTCCCAGGGGAACCGAATTCCCTCAGCCTCCGCTCCAGCCATATTAACCTGTTAGAGGCTCCATAACTCCAGGGCTTTTCAAAGTCTCTAAGCCTTTGCAAGGCAGAATAGCTTCCATGCTTTTCTTTTCCGGTAAATTCTTCGACTTTCAAAGTTCAGTTTATGCAGCCCCTCCTGGCTTATTTATTTATTTATTTTTGGGTACCAGGGATTGAACTCAGGAGCACTAAACCAATAGGCCACATCCCCAGCCCTATTTTGTATTTTATTTAGAGACACGGTCTCCCTGAGTTGCTTAGCGCCTGGCTTTTGAACTTAAGGATCCTCCTTTCTCAGCCTCCCGAGCCACTGCAATATACAGGCATGCGCCACCGCACCGGCCTGGCTTATTTGACCCTTTTATAAATAAGATTTTTTTGTGTGCGTGTGGTGCTAGGAATAGAACACAAGTCCCCATGCATGGCAGGAAAGTGCTGTGCCACTGAGCTACAGTTAAGTACTTTTGGACGTATGCAAATGTATGCAAAACAGTGTCTTAATTAAGCAACTAGGCGGGGCTCGCCCACCTACGTTCGTGAAAACCCGCCTCACACTGAGACCCACCCCAGCTCCGTCAATCATCGATGGCCCCGCCCCCTTCTCACTTCCGCCCAACTCAGTCTCGCTGAGTTTATCACGCAGCACTCTAGGCCCTCTGCAGCCCCTTCCAACCTATCATAATAGAAGCGCTGACCAGTATAGTCTGATTCGACCCGAAACACAAAAGCTCCGCCTAATCTTGCTTTAGCCAATCATATTTCGTCGCTTGCTCCCAGTTCAGCCTATCACATTTCAGATCCCTCTCCACTCCAGTCTATCACACGCTAAACCCCACCCCTCTGGCACCGTCACAGCCTATCAGCTTCCAAGTCCTGTTTATCCTTTCTGAGTTTCATCTCTCCGCTTGTTGTGAGGTTAGCTGAACTACATTTCCCAGGAGGCATCGCGGCTGCGCCGCCCTACTTCCGGCTGCGAAAATGGCGGCTTCCTAGCGAATCGGTGACTGACTTGGAGAGAGGTTCAGGCTACGGTGAGTAGAAGTTGGGTGGTGAAAACGTGTGGAGCTCTTCCCTAGAGACTCAGCTTCCCCGGCTCCAGAGGTCCAGCCTGACTCCTTCCCTGAGGCTTCTGGCTTCTCCTGCGTCCCAGGCTCTGTCCTTGCTGCAGCTGAAGCTTTGTCTTCCTGGGCGATGGACGGGGGTGGGGCTGCAAGGCGCGCAGACCCTTCCAGGAAGCCCGCGCCCCCTGTCCAGACGGGCAGGCTGTTCCCAGGGGGACTGTGGGGCACAGGTCCGCGCCCCGTCCTTCTGCAGACACCCCCCGGGCCGCCCCGCTCCCACGGGCGAGAGAATCCCAGCAGTTACATTCCTCTCTTCACCACGACGGTCCCCGGGTCAGGTAACAGAAGACTCAGTCTGGCTTAAGCAAGAAGGGGAAGTTAGTGGCTTATGGATTGCATTCAAAGCAGAGCTGAATGCCACTTCAGGCAGGCTCTCTTTCCCCTCTCAGAGGCAAAAGGGGCTCTTGGCAGCTCCCAACATCTACCTTCCCAGCTCTGCAATCCCAGCAAGGGCCTCTTTTCCCTACTGCCTCTATCAGAAGTCCCAAATGTGCCTCTCACTGACCCATATTGGTCCTTTGCCCATCTCTGAAGCATTCACGGTGGCCAAAGAACTGGGACTTGGTCATTAGTCATGGTATGCCTATGGGTGGAGGAGGGAAAACAAGGGAAACTGTTATCTTACTGTATTTTATTTTTATTTATTTATTTTTAATATTTAGTTGTTAATGGGCCTTTATTTATTTATTTGTGTGTGGTGCTGAGGATGGAACCCAGTGCCTCACACATGCTAGGCAAGTGCTCTACCACTGAGCCAGGACCTCAGCCCTGTTATCTTATCTACTGGATGCTGGGCTAACAGGTTTGGAAGGGATCCATTCCACAGCTGAGTAAACTGAGTCCCTGAGAGGAGAGACTCTTACAGTAGTAGAGTGGCTCATGGCCTGTGTTCCTTCTTAGTAACCAAATGTTTTTAAAACTCTAAGGGGTGGATCCTGGCTTCCCCCATCCCTGCACCATCCAGCCACACAGGAGCCATGGAAGTGGTAGAGCCCAACAGTCCCACTGAGGAGGAGGAGGAGGAGGAGGAAGAGGAGGAGGAAGAGGAGCAGTCTACAGAACCTCGGCCTCGCACCCGTTCCAACCCTGAGGGGGCTGAGGATCGGGCACTGGGGGCCCAGGCTAGCGTGGGTAGCCGCAGTGAGGGCGAGGGTGAGGCGGCCAGTGCTGAAGATGGGACCCCCAACCCTCCAGGAACTGGCCCCAAGCCCTGGCAGGTGCCCCCACCAGCCCCTGAGGTCCAGATTCGAACACCAAGGGTCAACTGTCCAGAAAAGGTGGTAAGTTGGTGGTGTTGGGCTGAAGGACCTTTAGGTTAACATTCTTGCATTTTGAAATTTACTGTGCACATATGGTCTGTGTATCAGTTTCTTTGGTTGCCATAGGTTACCACAGACTGGTGGCTTATGACAACAGAACTCTTAACATTTTTTTTTTGATAGTGAGGATTGAACCTAGGGGCACTTTATTTTTGAAACAGTGTTGCTAAGTTGTTGAGACAGGCCTCAAGCTTGTGATCATTTCACCTCAGCCTCCTGAGTCACTGGGATTATAAGTATGTGACCATGCCCAGCTCCCTCCCCTTTTTTAAAATTTTGAGACATGGTCTCATTAGGTTTCCCAGGCTGGCTTTGAACTTGCCATTTTCCAGCATCAGCCTCCTGAGTTGCTGGAATTACAGCGCCCAAATGACCACAGGGATTTAGCTCCTTCATAATTCTAGTCTGGAATGGTGCCAGCAGGGCCATGTCCCCTCTGAAGGCTCTAGGGGAGGCTTTTTCTACCTCTTCCAGCCTCTGTTGGCTCTAGGTGTTCCTTAGTTTGTGGCCATATCACTCCATTATCTGCCACCATCCTTATGTGGCTTTCCCTTCTATTTCTCTGTGTCTTCTCTTTTTCTGTTGGTTACAAAGACATTTGTCAAGATAATATAATCAATGAAGATTTCTTCTTTAATTTTATCTGCAAACATCCTAATTCCAAAGAAAGTCACATTCTGGGTTTCAGCAGGAGCTGGAGACTTTTCTTTTTTTTTTTTTCCCAGTCCTGGGGATGGATCCAGGGTCTTTTGCATGCTAGGCAAGTGCTCTACCCCTGAGCTTTACTCCCAGCCCTTTTAATTTTATGTTGAAACAGGGTCTCACCAAGTTGCTTAGGCCTTTTAATTTATAATTCTCTGGTCTGGCCACCCGAGTAGCTGGGATTACAGACTTTGGCCACCACACCCTCTGGACGTGTCTTTTGAGGGGAATAGTGTAACTCACTGCACTCTTATTGCCATGTTTCTGCTTTGAACATTCTTTCATTTATTTACTCGTCAGCCTGGACCCTCAGTCCAGTGTTCTTCCCCTGATCCATTACCTTCTAAAGTGAATAGCTTGGCTTTAAATTGGGGGTCACCATGCCACCTTTTTAGACTATACTCCTTGGACAGGGCCAGCAGTGTGGTGGGACCTGGTGTTAATATTATTATTTTTTTTTTTGCCCTCTTTTTTTTTTTTCTTTTTTAATTAATTTGTTTAGTTGTAGTTGGACATAATACCTTTATTTTATTTATTTATATGTGGTGCTGAGGACCAAACCCAGGGCCTCACATGTGCTAGGTGAGTCCTCTACCGCTGAGCCACAGCCCCAGCCTCCCCGTCACTGCCCTCTTTTAACTCCCTTGCAGATTATCTGTCTGGACCTGTCCGAGGAAATGTCGCTGCCAAAGCTGGAGTCATTCAATGGGTGAGAAGATATTTTGTAGCTTGTACCTGTGGCCATGTCTAGAAGAGGCCAGCTGTTAAAATATGGGGCCTCCACTTTAGACTTGCCCCACCCTGGTGTGGCCTCAGGCCTGCAGTATCAGAGTAGTAGTGATAGTAGTAATGATGTCCGTGGCCCAGTGAGGCTCTATTCTAAGTGTGAGGGAGCTGTCGGACATCACCTGTGCAACAGCAACACCTTGGAGACTCTGAGAAGAACCAAGTGACTTCCCCAAGGTCTCAAGATAATAGGGCAGGACCTGGATTCACACCCAGGCCTGACTGACCCCAAAATACGTTCCCAGAGCCATGTGCTACCAGGTTACAGGGCCTGGGTGGAGCCCAAGGGCTCCTGGGAGATGCTAAGGATGAGCCCCTAGGAGCCGGGTGTGGTGACGAGGCCTGTGCTCTCAGCTAGTTGGAGGGCTGAGGAATGAGGGTCTTTTGAGCTCAGGAGTTCAAGACCATGCTGGGAAATAGACCCAGACCCTGCCTGTGGGAAAAAACAAACAAGACAAGGTGAAGCTCTCTCCACTCTGGCACCCATGGCTGAGAGAAGGTCTCCCAGGCCTCGGCGATGACTATGAGCCCGGCTCCAGAGGTCCAGCCTGACTCCTTCCCTGAGGCTTCTGGCTTCTCCTGCGGCCCAGGCTCTGTCCTTGCTGCGCCGAAGCTGCCACCTTCCTGCCACATGACATGCACCCCAGGACCCTGTTGCAGGCTGAGGGGACCCTGATCGACTTACTCTCTGTGCCTTCCCAGCTCCAAAACCAATGCCCTCAATGTCTCCCAGAAAATGATCGAGATGTTTGTGAGGACAAAGCACAAGATCGACAAGAGCCACGAGTTCGCGCTGGTGGTGGTGAACGACGACACGGCCTGGGTGAGGTGGGGCGGGTGCTGACCCCGGGCTCCGTGGGGACCAGCTCCCCACTGAGCCCCGTGCCTCCCTGTAGCTCTCCGGCCTTACTTCTGACCCCCGCGAGCTCTGCAGCTGCCTCTACGACCTGGAAACGGCCTCGTGCTCCTCCTTCAGTATCCTTTGTGGCCGTTGTCCTTGGGGGGGCCTCCTTCCTGTCCCCTCTGGGCCCGCAGGGCTGAGCCACGGAGGGTCTGCTGAGTAGCTCAGATTCAGGTCCCAGCTGCGTAGCGACAGGTTGGGCAGGTGACCTCTCTGCCTGTTTCCCCATCTGTAACGTGGGACACAAAACTGACCACGCCTTGGGCTTCAGCATCCCCAGGCTGACACGCTTCAAAGTCTGAAACTTGATGAGTGCCCACATGGCGGCCACAGGTGGAGAAGTCCACCCCTGACCTCCCGGGCACGGTCACTGTCAAAATGCAGGCTCCAGGCTGTGCATAATAGGTGCGAATTTCTTGTTCAGACTTGGGTCGCATCGCTGAGGACCAATCTGATATTAGCATAACAGATATTCCCAGACTTTAAAACTACCAAAATCTAAAACTCTTCTGGTCCCAAGCATATCAGATAAGGGACACTCAACCTTTAACAATACAGAAGCAGCAACAGATGATTTGGACTCGGGATTTCCAAGATGCATTCACACGGGGAACACTTTGTGCAGCACCAGGTGTACAGTTGGTGCTCAGTAAATGTCAGTGTGTGACTAAAAAGTTAGAATTGCCCCTGGAGTCTCTTTAACTTGTACATAGTGCATTTCATGCTAATCTGAACATTAAAGGCTCAGGTGTGACCCAAAACTTAAATAGAAAATGATCTCCATGAATTAAAAAATTGATGCATGTTAGGAGAACAGAAGTGAGACCCCCCCACACCCTTGTGGCTCTAATTGTGAGAAGAGTGGCACCAGCCCTGAGGAAAAGAGGAGCTTTCAATCACCAAGGTCCTTCAGGGGTCCCATGTCAGCATTTTATTTTGTTATCTGTGCTGAGAAGAACCAGGCTCAGAGAAGGGGAGCCACTTGCCAGGGACCCACAGCCTGTCTGGAGGGGTCTGGGCTCTCCCGACATTAGGATCACGAGAAGCCACCTGCCTCTGACTGTCTGAACAAAGCCATTGGACTTCTCCTTAGCATCCCCACCAGATCTGGAAGGGCTCTTCAGCCTCATGTAAGTTATCCACTTTCCAAGAGAAGATCCTGGGCTGGGGTATGGCTCGGTGTCAAAGCGCTTGCTAGCATGTGTGAGGCCCTGGATTCCGTCCCCAGCGCTGCAAAAATACAAAAACCAAACCAAGCAAACCAAAAGAGATCTTTCTTGGTCAAAACTCGGCAGCACAGAGATAATCCAGGGGTCCTACAGCCTGCCCGTGCCTGGTGCTGCCCGCAGAGTTGCTCATTTATTTATCTGGGAACATTTTCTGCAAGGGACATACTTCCTGGAGTCTTGCCCTCTGTCTCCGTGCTGTGACTGCCCCATAGTGCTCCACACTCATTATTCCCACCCAAAGGTCAGCAAAGTTTTTTCTGTGAAGAATCAGTAAATATTTTCAGCTTTGTGGGCAGGCCAAGGTCCCCGTCACGGTTCTTGCCCTCTGTTGCTGCAGGTGTGGCTGTGTGCCAGGACAGTTTAATTTAGGGACACTGAAGTTGGAAATTTCTTGTTTCCCTGTATTATTGAATATGATTCCACTTTAGATTTCTTTTTTTTCTTTTGGTACTGGGGCACTCAACCACTGAGCCACACCCCCAGCCCTATTTTGTATTTTGTTTAGAGACAGGGTCTCACTGACTTGCTTAGTGCCTCGCTATTGCTGAGGCTGGCTTGGAATTTGCAATCCTCCTGCCTTGGCCTCCCGAGCTGCTGGGATTACAGGTGTGCGCCACCACACCCAGCTACCACTTTAGATTTTTTAATCACTTGAAAAGCTTGTAAAAACCATACTTCCCCAGCCGGGGTTCAATCCCCAGTGCTGGGGGGGGGGGGATCTGGTTCCCATGGAAGCAGTCCCTGGCCTGATGGGAAGCCATGTGTCAATAGGCAGGTCCAACCCAGAGCCCTCAGGTGGCCAGCACAGGATCTGGCCTTGTAATCAGTGAAGCATCCCTGGTGTAGCAGGAGAGACCAGGCAGGGGCGAGTCCAGGGAGGTGCTGGGGGTGGAGGAGAGAGTATGGGATGGCTCAGAGGGAACAGTGAGCTCAGGAGGGGCCAGATGGGCCCTGCATGCCCAGTGAGGAGCTGGGCTCTCCAGAGGTGGCAGGAGGGCTAGACCCCAAAGCATGCTCTGACCCATTCCCCTCCTGGCTCTGCAGCCAGCAGAAGACAGAGCTGCCAGTCACGGAGAACGTGCAGACCATCCCACCCCCGTATGTGGTCCGCACCATCCTTGTCTACAGCCGCCCGCCCTGCCAGCCCCAGCTGTCCCTGACAGAGCCCATGAAGGTGGGTGAGGCCTGGGAGAGGGAGGGACACCTGCAGCCAGGACGGAGGGTGAATGCTGGGGGGGATTCCTGACCACAGGCTTGGGGTGCTTAGAAGGGTACTCCTGGAGTCTGAGGCGGACGTTGGGGTGACCTGAGCCCACAGTCTGTCCTCTCCCCGGCAGAGAATGTTCCAGTGTCCATATTTCTTCTTTGATGTTGTTTACATCCACAATGGCGCCGAGGAGAAGGAGGAGGAGACCAGTTGGAAGGTGAGGGGCGGTGGCAGGTGGGTGGAGTTGGGATATCTCAGCACCCTGAGCCCTGGAGCCCTGGTCCAGCTGGGTGGTGGCCATGAGTCAATCAACAAGCATTTGCCACTCCTCTGTGATCAGCTGGTGGTGACTGAAAGTTGTGGGGACTGTTGGGACAGTGGCTCCAGGAATCTTGGCCCCGCCCAGCTCATCCCAGCTTCCCCGGCTTCTCTGTCTTCCTGATTTTGCCTTCCTGTGCCCTCTGCCTGGCACACCCTCCTTCTTCCTAAGCTCTGCTGACCCTGCACATCTCAGTCCTGAACTAACGGGGACCTCACTGGCCACTCTGAGCATTTGTTTATCCGACTCAGTGGAGGAGCTGAGACCAGCACCTGCTCAGACCTTTACCCAGATAAAGAAATCCCTCCCGTGGGAAGCCTTCCCCATCCTCAAGAAGGATCTGCGTGCAGGCTGGGCAGAGCCCTCGCCTGGGCTGGGAGAACTGTACTCTACCCCCAGCACTGCCAGAGACATTTAAATAGATAGCTAGGCAATTTAGGAGGTTGAGGCAGGAGGATCACATGTCGGAGGTCAGCCTCAGCAGCTTAGAGAGTCCCTGCCTCAAAATAAAAAAAATGAAAGTGGCTGGTGATGTCCCTTGGTGGTACAGCAGCCCCGGGCTCAGTTCCCAGTACCACACACAGAAAGAAAAAGACAAGCGTGTGGGCTGGGGTGTCATCTGACCGCTCTCTATGCTGGGGGATCCTGCACACCTAGGACTGAGACCTCTTGGGTGGGTACCAGCGGGTGTGCTTTGAGCTTGGCAAACTTGTCTTCACTCTTCAGAACCCACCCCAGATGTCCTTTCCTTTGGGAAGCCTTCTGGGGACCTGGAGGGTGGATCAGGATCAATGTCTGCCTGAGTTGTCGCTCACTGCCCCCTACAGGACATGTTTGCCTTCATGGGCAGCTTGGACACCAAGGGTACCAGCTATAAATATGAGGTGGCCCTAGCGGGGCCAGCCCTGGAGTTACACAACTGCATGGCCAAGCTGTTGGCCCACCCACTGCAGCGACCGTGCCAGAGCCATGCCTCCTACAGCCTGCTGGAGGAGGAGGAAGAAGCCACTGAGGTTGAGGCCACCGTGTGAACCGTCACTGTGCATCTCAGCCTGGTCCCCGGAAACTCTTGGTCTAGAGTGCTGGTTCTCAAACAGCTTTTGGGGACTCCTAGGGGTTCCAGGAGGTACTCAGGGCACTTGGCAGCCCTGAGAAGAAACCCAGAATTCCAGGAGGCCCTTCAGGAACTCTGGGCACGCATTCTCCATGTTTTCTAGCCCACACCCACTCCTAGTTGTTCCATTATAACCTTTGTTCTGTATGTGATTTTTGTCATCAAAATAAAAATCTAAGAATCCTTGGCCCTGGTCCACAATAATCTCGTGTTAATTGGGATCAACTCTGTTGGAAGTGACAGAGACCCACCCATCAAGCAAGGAAGAGGGTGAATGGCTTCTTTCTTGTGGATGAGAAGCCAAGGTGGCACCTTCAGGCTCAAGGGTGCCTCGGTGCTCCCTGCCACCGGAACTGCCCAGCTGGTGTCTAGTGTGCCCTGCTTTCTTTCTCCTCAACCCGTGGAAAGGGGTGAGGTAGCTCCCACCACTTACTAAGTCCCAAAGCAGAGAAGTGAGGGTTGTGAGCTCCCTGACCGGGTTGGACCTCTCTGGGTCAGGTGGACTTCCTTGAAGCCGGTTGTGGTCCAGGGTTCTGGGATGCTGATTGGCCAGGCCAGGGTCACCCTTCTTCCTGGAACAAAGACCAGGAGCTAAGGTGGGTGCTCCCTAGCGGCGGGAAGATAGGAGAGGTCCACTGAAGTCCACTCAACCATCTTCCCCGGATGATGCAATTGTGAAGTTTATGGACCAGATTTTCTCAGCTCCACATAAAACAAAAATAACTTATTGAGCAACTGCTTTTCCTCTTTTTCAGCACTTAGTAGGCACCTACAGTGTGAGGGCCTTGTGCTGAAATGCCCCTTTCTTTCGTTACAGTTGTTCTCCCATTTGGCCGAGGGGAAAGTAAGGCCCCACCCTCCACAGTCCGGACTCCCGACTCTGCTGGGCGGGAACGGCGCTGCACGGCTTCTAGGGCGGCAGGCTGGGAACCAGCCTCCCGAGTGGGGGCTGCGCGCTAAGGGCAGCCGCGGTGGCCGAGGGTTCCGAGCGCCCTGGCGCCCCGCGGCGGCTTCCCCAGCTCCGTGATGGAGCGCTCCCGGGAGGGTGCGTCCGTCTTCGGTTCTGAGGAGAGATAAGGGCACACCCACCCTCCTGCTCGTGCCCAGGACCTTATCGGCGGTGCCAGGGCCTCCCGATTGCCACTCGGTGCGTGTCGCGGACCCGCACTAGGCTCGGGAATTCCGATGTGGGCGGCGGTGCGGCGCGGGGTGACCTGGCTGCGCGGCCAGTGCAGCGCGGGGGAGCGGGGGCCCGGGCCGCGGGGCGGGGCGGCGCGTGCGCACAAGGCCGCCGCGGGAAGTTGGAAATCGGCGGGCCGGGCAGCGGGGCCCGGGGACGCCCTGGATATGGGTGCCGCGGCCGACCTGGCTCAGCAGCTGAGGGCGGCGCTACAGGAGGAGGAGCCGCGGTGAGGGTGGGGCCCGGGTCGGATCGGTGGGCAGGCCGGGTCGGGAGGGGGCCGCGGTCCACTCTGACCCTCTGTCAGCAGGGCAGTGGAGGAGCTGCTGCGCCGCGGCGCCGACCCTAACCTGGTGCTTACCGATGGCGCGGCCGCCATACACTTGGCGGCTGGAGCCCGACACCCGAAAGGCCTGTGCTGCCTCGGGGTCCTGCTACGCGGAGGAGGGGACCCCAACGCTCGGTAAGGCGAAGCCTGGGCTCAGTGCGGGGTGTCCCGAGAGGCGAGGCCTGGGAATCCTAGAGCGCACGCACCGCTGTCTGTCCCCCGGGGCTTGGTGTCCGAGGGTGGGGCTTGGGGATCTTAGGGCCCGAGGGCCCAGGCTTCAGTTCTCAGCGCCCGCGATCTAGGTCCTACTCCGGAGGTGAAGTCTCCAGTGACCTCTCTTGCGCTCTCGTCCCAGATCGGCCGAAGCGTTGACGCCATTGCATGTGGCCGCCGCCTGGGGCTGTCGCCGCGGCCTGGAGCTATTGCTGAGCCAAGGAGCCGACCCCGCGCTGCGTGACCAGGTGGGGGAACTCCTCAGAGAAGATGGGGCGGACCCAGAGGGAGAGGAGGAGAGGGGGAAGGTCCTCGGGCGCCCCCTGCTGACCGCGCTTCCGCAGGACGGACTCAGGCCCCTGGACCTAGCGGTGCAACAGGGGCACCAAGACTGCGCACGCGTCCTGTGCGAGCTGGACTCTCCGACCGCAGCCCGGGCAGAGGCCCAGGAGCCAGAGTCACAGCCGGAGCCTGGCAGTGAGTCGGGCCTGCGCGGCCGCGTGGTGCTTGCAGTGCCTCCCTCTGGCATCCACAGTCTCCCGCTGCTTCCCTGGTCCCCAGCTGTTTTTGATGGTCTTCGGCACTACTGCCACCTGCTGGTTCTGACTCTCGTGGCCACCGTCTAGCTAGCTCCCTCTGCTTCCAACTTCCCTTCTCCTCCAGACTCTGATCTCCTCTTTCTGTCTGATCTGAATCTATTTCTGTCTCTCGCTCCCTCTCTTATCTCAGGCCCAGGTGTCTCTGCACCAACTGATGTGACACTGGACTCCACAGCACTCCAAGCCCCGCTGAGCAGAGCTGACAGAGGGGCCGTGGGCCTGGAGTCTGGCCCAGGATCCCCCAACCTCCCTGACGCCCTTGAGTTTGCAGACAAGGATGGGGACTCAGAGGCCCCCCTCGGGTGCTGGGACTGCTCCTCGGAGGTCTCCTTTGTCACTGCAGTTGAGGTTTCTGGAGATGAGGACCCAGCCCTGGACACTTCTCCCTGGGTCAGGTCATTGCCCCAGACCACTCGGGGACTGCCTGATCTCCATCCTATTCAGACAATACCAAGACCTGGAAGTGCCCCACAGCTGGTGCGTCAAGGCCATCTGGCGATCAGGGAGGCAGAGCTGAGCACCTGTCTGCAGGCCCTGAGCCTGACCTGTCCCCATACAGCAAGCTGCCCGCCTTCTCCCTCCTCAGCCTCCCTCCTGGATGGGAGCTCAGCCCGTAGCCCTCCACAGGAACAGCCACCTGGACCCCCCAACCTGAGCGATGATCAGACGTTCCTTGGTAGGGACGAGGTTGCCCTCTGGCTGACAGAGGATGAGCTGAGCTCCACAGAGGGCAGGGACCCTGTCCCCTCTTGCCAGCATCTGCCAGTCCCTGCGAAATCTGACCCGGAGCTGCCGCAGGCACATCAAATGCTTGACAAGAGCCCTGGCCTCGTCGCGCCTTTCACCTGGCACCCCTACCGTCAACAGCCCGAAGAAGCCCGGGCCACCCCTGGTTAGTGTCTCCTGGACATCCAGAATCCTAGGAGCCTCCAGGAATCCCCGGAGACCCCAGCTCTCAGTCCTACCCCTCATCAGCTCTGAGAATCACCTCTTCCTCCATCTCCCCCGACTTATTTTCCTCTCCCAGGCCCAGATTTTTCAGGGTACAGCCCAGAACTGGCCAAGGCCCTACGGACAGGCCATATTCCAGATGCTCAGTCTGATGAAGATGCACTTGCCCAGCAGTTTGAGCGACCAGATCCCACGAAGAGGTGGCGGGAGGGGGTTGTAAAGTCCAGCTTCACATATCTGCTGCTAGACCCCAGGTACTTGGCGCAGGAAAGACCCAGAGATGGAAACTAGAAAATTTGGGGAGTGATTTGTATTTGCTGTGTATTCTTAAGAAAGGGACCAGCCCTCTCTGATCATCAGTTTCTTCATAAAAAAATGATTGAACCCAACTTTAAACAATTGAGTATCCTTGGGGAGCAGCCACCCTTCCCTGGTCTTATAAAATGGAGGTCGATGGATGTGGGTTCAAGTTGCTCTGTGACTTTGGGTAGTGGCAATGTCATTTTTCCTTCTCTGAGGGTCCCCCTCTATCCAGGGAGACTCAGGATCTGCCAGCCCGAGCCTTCTCACTGACCCAAGCCGAGTGCTTTCAGACTTTTGTTCGTGCCATCTTCTATGTGGGCAAGGGGACACGTGGCCGACCAGATGCCCACCTCTGGGAGGCCCTTGGCTACCGTGGACGGCCAAGAAAACAGGTATCAGGCCGCACTGATCGTATAGCACTTTGGTATCCTTTACTTGAGTTGGGGTGCTTGCTGGGAATGGCCACCCGTAGGTCCCAAAGCTCCTTCCCTCTGCCGGGTCGAGGGTCCCTCTACTTCCCGCCCCTCGTCCTGCCTTATCTTTACTCCTCTGCTCAAGAGCAGTGAGCGCACTCCTCTCTGTGTCCCCGGAAGCCCTGCTGTTCCCATCAGGGGCCCTGGAGGGGCCTGTATCCCAAGCGTTTGCCCAGAAGTTTCCTGAAACTAAAACCTAAAAAAAAGACAAAGGAAAGAGAAAACAGGCCTGAGGTCAAGGATGAAGTTCCAGCCGGGGGAGCCAGCCAGGGACAGGCAACCTCTGACGCTGCCCTGGCCCTCCAGGCATGCCCCAAGGTGCGCCAGATCTTGGACATCTGGGACAGTGGCCGCGGTGTCATCTCCCTGCATTGCTTCCAACACGTGGTGGCTGTGGAGGCTTACACTCGGGAGGCATGTCTTGTGGATGCTCTAGGTGGGTACCTAAGATGTAGGGCTGGGGAAGGGCATTTGATTGACAGATTCCCTCACCTCTTCCCTTTCAGGGTTGTTCATTCATTTATTCAGTGAATAAGCAATTATTGAGCACCAACCCTGTATCTGAATTTGCATGAATTTTGCTCCCTTTGTTTATCCTTATTTGAGGGCAACCCATTTTGGGTTTGCTGTCATATATTTCTGGTGGAGGGGTACCCTGAAGCCATCCCTCTGACCCCATTTTCTAATTTCTCTAGGAATCCAGAAACTGACCAACCAGAAACAAGGGCACTACTACGGAGTGGTGGCAGACTGGCCCCACCATCGGCGCCAGCGCTTAGGGGTGCATCTGCTACACCGTGCCCTCCTTGTCTTTTTGGCCGAGGGCCAGCGAGAGCTGTGGCCTCAGGACATCCAGGCCCGTGGCTGAGGCTGGGGATTGGCTGTCCAGTTTGGATGGACATCAGGGTATTTGGGTATACCAGCTGCTCCAAGCTGACAGCACGGCCACCTCTGGCTTCAGACGGCCGGATGTGTAAGAGTGTGTGCATGCGGTGCATGCGTGTGTGGTGCGTGCGTGTGTGCGTGTGTAGGGAGCCCCAGGGTCGGTCCCTCTGTCAGGCTGAGGGAGAACTATGGGAGGGAGGCGCTGCTGGGGAGGCACTGTGTTCCCTGTCATGGAGGAAGACCAGTGAGGAGCCACAGGGTGCTCTGGAACACAGTGGGGCTTGGGCAGTTTGGTCCTATCTGTGGACAGAGTCCACCTTTAATCTCCAGACCGGCGACCCATATAACGGGACGGCTAATGACCGTCTCAGCTACACGCAGGGCATCTGTTCAGCTCCAGAGCCAGGTTTGCTACTTCCGGGCTGTGGGACCTCCGGCCAGTAGTTTTTCCGTCTGACTCTCAGTTTCCTCAATTACAACGAGGGCAGTTGAGGTCCTGCCTCGGGATCATTGTAGGGACTCAATGGGGGTCATGTGAACAGTGTGTGACAGCCTAGCACTGAGCCCAGGTGGCACATCTCCAACGGAGGGAAGTCGGGGGGCTGTGGCAGTGAGGTGTGGGCAGGCCCAGGAGGTCTTCCCGGTGTCTAGTGAGAAGCTGGTCCTCAGGGTGGCTGCGCCACCCCAGCCTCCTCGCCCGGACTCATTTCTTCCACTGTACAGGGAATTACTAACCCGATTCCTCAGGGACGCTGTGACTACACATCATTTACATGTGCAGAGAGCTTCAGTAAATGCCAAACTGCCATCCTGGTGACTTGTTGCTGCTGTGTTGTCAGAGATATGGTTTTGAGGGCCTATGTAGGGGTGGTTTTAAGTTTCTGAGAAAGTTTCTTCTTTAGAAGGTTCAGTGGTTTAGGTTTATGGGGAGATCTGCTGCCTCATTGGCTACCCACCTGCCCATCATCACAGCTCAGCCAACGAGGTCCTGCAGGGGCGGACTGTACCTGGGCAGAGGTTCCGCCTACTTGGGATTGTCCCCTAGGCTGCTCTTATAATTAAGGGCCCGGCCTGTGGAGTGTGCCTGGGTCCTGCCACCTATATCCGAGCTGGAGAAATCTCTTTTAGAGTTTCCCTTTCTTTCTGTGTAAAACAGAGGACTCCCAGCCCGTGGTGGTGTTGCATGCCTGCAATCCCAGGAGGCCGAGGCAGGAGGATGCCTGCCTCAGCAGCTTAGCCAGGCCCCGTCTCAAAAAATAGAAAGGGATGGGGACGGAGCTCAGTGGTTAAGCACCCCTGGGTTCAATCCCGGGTAACAAAAACAACAGTCAGCACTCCCAGACCCCAGAGCTGATAAAGCCACAGCAATTCCGACAATGGGCTGTCACCCTGCAGTGCACAAGCAGGTCGCTGGAAAAGAATCCAAAGACCCCAAAGAGTGGGAATTTCTCTACCAGGCTTTCTCAATCTCGGCCCTAATGACATTTGGGGCTGGGTTACTCAGCCACAGGGCTGCCCTGTACCTCGTTGCCTGTTGAGCAGCAGCCCTCGACTGAACCCACTAGATGCCAGTAACCACCCCCCCACCCCTGTCACCTCCAGTGTGGCTGTTGAAAGGTCTCCAGAATTTGACAGTGGACACAACTGCCCCAGGTGAGAACCCCAAGTCTAGACCGAAGTTGGGTTCACAAACTAGTGGGGAAAACCGAGGAGACAGTTCCCTCCTCCCACCGGTCACATGAAGCACAGAGAGACCTAGACTTGCTCTCGAATACAGTTTAGAATGCGAACAGTAAAGGGTTTGGGGTTGGGAAGCATGAGGATTCAACAGCTGAGTGCCAGACACTCAAAACAGGACCTGGTATTGAGTGGTACAGTGGGTGCTCAATTATTGCAGCTATAATCTCCTGCGGTGTCCATTGATCCTCACTCAATCTCGGCTGGACCTCCTCTTCCATTTCCAGGGCAGGGAGCGCACCCCTTGATAACTGCCTGGCACTCCAGTAATACTGGCCAAGCGGCCTCTGGAAAGCAGCGTGTGCGCATGTTCAGGAAGTCAGCCTGGAGTCCCTGATGCTCTCAAGGTCACCCCCGAGGGGAGGCGCCTCAGGCCAGGCTGCAGATGGGAAAGCAGACTGGGGTAGCGGGGCAAAGAAAGCCCTGCCCTAAGGTCATCCAACACAAGTCCGAGACTCCGATTGTCACTTCTTTTTATTGAGTTACAAGTTGAGATGTGCAGGTTTGGTGGCGCCAGCCCCTCTCCCAATCCCTCCCCCCTTGGGCAACAACAGCTCCCAGCGCCAAGGAACGAGGAGTGGGGTGGGGTCTCGGGCAAAGGGACCGGACCCACGAGGGTCCCTGCGGGGCTTGTGGGTCCCAGGATCAAGCACGGCTGACACGGAAGACAGAGCGGGGTGGGGGACCTGCCTCGGTGTGGCGTTGGGGAGGGGAAGAGGGCTTCTGTACAAGGTCATCCTCCGCGTGGGCCCTGGCCGCGGCCCGAAACACGGATGGGCTCCCAAGCAGAGAGCGGAAGGGTCTCCGGGCTCCCTCCGATGCCACGCCCCGCCCAGCCGGCCTGGGGGCGTCTCCCTGACTGACCCCGCCCACCGGAGCGAACAGCCCGCCCAGGTGGTCCGCGCTGCGGACCGGCGCAGGCTCTGGCTCTTCCTGCGGCTCTGCTCGCCAAGCGATGCCCCGCCGGCCCGGCGGCTACTTCTTCTCCTCTGGAGGCGCGGGCTGGGGCTCGGGCAGAGCCTTGGGCGAGGGTTCCGGCTCCCAGAGCAGGAACTCGTGGAGCAGCGTGTTGACCGTCTCTGGGCACTCCAGCATCACCATGTGGCTGCCTTCGTCGATAAGCTTCAGGAAGGCCAGGAGCAGGATCTGCAGGGATGCGGGGCTCAGGATGGGGGCGGTGAGGGGCCAGCTGCCCTGGGACTTCCCACCTCCATGCATGGCCCACACCAGGAAGTCCCTCCTGCAGTCTACCCTTCAACCCTTTAGTTCCACTCCAGGGGGAACTGGAGGATGGCCTGTCACCCTGTGGGAGCCCAACCAGATATTCATTCATTAAGTGCCTATGGTATGACCAGGGGAGGATTTCTCAATCTCAGCAGTCTGACATCTGGGGCTGGATCATTCTTTGCTGCGGAGTGCATGGTAGATGATACGCAGTTCCCTGTCTCCACCCACCAGATGGCCGGAGTCCGCCCTCCCCTCTCCAGTCTGGAAATGGTCTCCAGACATTTCAAGTGTGACCTGGAGGCAAGGATCCTCCCTGGTTAAGAACCGCCCAGTTCAGAGCTATCCTAAGTACTAAGGGTTCCAGTATCTTTTCTTTGGAACCTCTAAAGACCCACTGCCTCACCCCTTTCCCCAAAATTATATAAGCAACATTGATCTCTTCTACAAATCCTCTGCAGTGAAGTCTGCTTACTGCAGGGGGAATGGGGCATAATTGTTACCTGTCTGGGGAGCCATTTTCTAGGTTCTGCCTTTGACTCTAGATCTGATGCTCCCAATTCCTTGGGGTCAGAACACATGCCAGAGCCCAGCCCATACACAGACAGAGCCACCTAGAAACTACACCCTGGCCCGAAGCCACGCCCACATGGGGCCACGCCCCCGGGGCTGTGCACAGCCGGTTTCCAGGGGTGGCGGCCCTGGTACCCTGCTCCTACCTCCGCCATGCGCTGGTCTTCCTCCACTGGCACAAACTTGTCGTGCATGCCGTGGACAAGCAGGACAGGCACCGTGAGCTCAGCGTGGTAGACTTCGTCGCCCTCGGGCCAGTACTGGCCGCTCATCATGGCCCTTAGCACGAAGGACGACACGTTGAACGCGTTGCCTTCCTTCAGCAGCTGCTTCTCTTTGGCTCCTTGGCGGGCAAAGCCGGCCCTGGTGGTGGGGAGACACCGTCTGAACCCCTGGCCAGCCGGCCCTCCACAGGGTGTCCCCCATACCAGACCCAGCTGTTTAGCCTCCCTCCCCCCAACTCTGAGAGATGCCAGGGTCTGCCAGAGCCAAGAGCAGTGTCTCTAGGATGGGGGCACTCACTTGAGGAAGCTCCAGGCCAGGCAGGGCGACAAGCAGTGCAGGACACACGTGGGCATATTGAAGATGGAGCAGATGCTGGGCTCCAGGGCGGTGGGGCCCCCGCCATTGATCATGATCACCTTGTGCACCAGGTCAGGGTACTCATGTGCCAGGAATGTGCAGAAGGACACCCTGCCCGGGCATGGAAGAGCAGTGGTCAGCAGAATCCAGTCACTAAGGGGGTAATGCCCTCTCTGCACCCCAGGGGCAGGCCCCTGAATCCCAAGACTCTTTCCCCTGGAGGCACGGGCACCTGCAGGATGGGGGGATGCCCCAGGATTACCAGATTGAGTTCTGAGGATTTTCCATTTTATTTTATATACACACATATACATTTCTTCTCCTTTTTCTTCTTCTTCTTCTTCTTCTTTTTTTTTTTTTTTCCAGCACTGGGGATGGAACCCAGGGTCTTGCACATGCTAGGCTCTGCCACTCAATTATCATCATCATCATTATTATTATTATTTGGTACTGGAGATTGAACCCAGCAGTGCTAACCACAGAGCCACATCCCCAGCCCTTTTTTGTATTTTATTTAGAGACAGAGTCTTGCTAAGTTTCTTAGGGCCTCATTAAGTTGCTGAGGCTGGCTTTGAACTCACGATCCTCTTGCCTCAGCCTCCTTAGCTGCTGGGATGACAGTCCTGCGCAACCACACTCAGTACCCAGCCCAAGTTCTTAGTCACCATGACTCCCAAAGGGATAAGAATTACTGATTATCAAGTGTTAGAAAAGGAATCCGACTACACAAACACGGGTGGATGCCCAGAGGAGGAGTAACCTTTCTATTTGAGGACTTCTGTGGCCTCTGGGCAACACACATTCTCCTGCCTAATGCCAGGTAGAAGGGCCTAGAGAGCCTCCAAACCTAGCTCCTCAGTGTCTTTATAGCAAGATATAGCCTGTGGGCTGGTCTCTTGTTTTTGTAAATCAAATTTATGATTTCAAAGATTTATAAAAAAAAAAAATTCATGGTGCTGAGGTTTGAAACTCATGCGCTAGGCACCCATCTATGGTAGTTTTTGTGAGTGTTCTCCCACTGAACCCCAGCCCCAGCCAGATTGGTAAAATTTTTTGTTTGTTTGTTTTATTGATACCAGGGATTGAACCCAGGGCATTTTTACCACTGAGCTATATCCCCAGCCCTTTTTATTTTTTCATTTTGAGGCAAGGTCTCATGAAGTTGCTGAGACTAGCCTTGAACCCATGATCCTCCTGCCTGAGCCTCCCAAGTCACTGGGATTACAGGTGTGTGCCGCAGTACCCAGCAGATTTGTAAAATATTTTGTTAATCAAATTTTACTGGAACATAGTCATGCCTGGCTGCTTTTGCACTGCAACTGCAGAGGTGTGACGTCCCAACAGAGACAAATAAAAATCAAAAATATTTACCACTGGGCCTTTTTAGAAAAAGTTTTCTGGGCTGAGCATGGTGGCACATACCCAAGGGGAGGCTGAGGCAGGAGGATCACAAATTCAAGACCAGCCTGGGCAACTAAGCAAGACCCTGGAAAATAAATAAAGAAAGAATGAATAAATAAATAAGTTAATTAATTAATTTTACAGTGGTAGAATACTTCCCTCAAATGTGTGAAACCCTGCATCCCATTCCTAGAACTTTAAAACAATGACAAAAACGAAAGAAAGAAGAAAAAAAAAGAAAGAAAAAGAAAATACAGCAGCAGCTTGCTGATTCCTGCTAGAAAAAAAAATAGACAAACAGGAGGAAGGTGGACATTGTGCTTATGATTCACTGTGTGCCCTTAGGCAAGTTGCTTAACCTCTCTGAATTTCTGTCTGCAGTTCTATGAAATAGTAACTGTGATGACCTCAGAGCAATGTTATGAACTCACAGGAACTACCATAGATGGGTGCTCATTTAATTAGAGGAAACATTGTATCATAAGCATCAACTTTTTGAGATGTTATCATACAAACACATAAGAGTTATATACCTCCCGAGTCGGACACCTTTCTTCTGGATACTCATATAACTTATTTACTTTCGTGTCTAATTGCATGGGATATAATCTCTACAAGAGTGGTTCCCCACCAGGCTGCCTGACTCATCTGATCTTTCTTCCTGGGTAAAGGGGAGAACATGGCTCCTTGGCAGTGGTCAGAACCCCAGGGCTCAGAGTCTTCCATGAAGTGGGCTTTCAGTAAGCGCCAGATGGTATCCTCAGCCCTTCAGAGGAGAATGATTTACAGCAAGCTGTGCCTTTGTAAACAGGATTTAAGGGAATCCAATTAGCCCTTCCTGACCGCATGGGATCTCCAGAGCAGCCAGTGTTTGAAATTAGCCCAAGGCAGCATTCTGGGCTTCGAGCAATTCCGCCTACTTAGTGGACATCTGGCTAATCTGAAGACAGGTTAGATGGTCATGATCAACAACACTAAATGATGGTACTATGGCATTAGAGGCCAGGGATGCTGCCAAACATCTTATAGTCCCTCACCAAAAAGAACTACCTGGCTCAAATGTGAGTACTGGGATGAAGAAATCCTACTGTTAAAACAATGGGAGTGGGGGCTGGGGATGTAGCTCAGTTGTTAGAGTGCTTGCCTCGAATGCACAAGGCCCTGGGTTCAATCCCCAGTACCACACACACACACACACATAAATAAACAAACAAACAACAATGAGAGTGAGATAGAAGGCATAAGTTCAACTGTTCTGCAGCACAGTGGGGTGACCACAGTTCACAGTAATCTATGGAAATATGTGTGTGTGTGTGTGTGTGTGCCTCATTGAGGCACTAGGCAACTCAATGAGACTCTCTCTCTCTCTCTCTCTCTCTCTCTCTCTCTCTCTCTCTCTCTCCTTCCTTCCTTGCTTCCTTTCCCCCAGAGATGAGGTGTTGCTATTTGCCCAGGCTGGCCTCTAACTCCTAGGCTCAAGTGAACCTCCTGCCTCAGCCTCCTGATAGCTGGGACTACAGGTATGCTCTACCACACCTGGCTTGTTTTATGAATAACTAAAAAAGAGGAGCTTGAAGGTTCCAGTCACCAAGTAATGACAAGGAGATGGAAACATTCGTGATCCTGGGGCTAGGGCTGGGGCTCAGTGGTAGAGTGCTTGCTGCGCATGTGTGAAGCACTAGGTTCAATTCTCAGCACCACATATAAATAAATGAACAAAATAAAGGTCCATCAACATCTAAAAAATAATATTAAAAAAAAACCATTATATTTGATCAGTACACACTGTATGCATCTATCAAACTATCATGCTGTGCCTCATAAATATGGACACATATTTCATGTTAATCAAAAAAATATATATAGGGGCTGGGATTGTGGCTCAGCAGTAGAGCTCACTTTGCACGGGCAGGACCCGGGTTCGATCCTCAGCACCACATAAAAATAAAGGCATTGT